ACCCTCCCCCGGCCTTCCCCACACTATTGTCTGTGTCCATGGGTTGTGCATGTATGCGTGTAAATTCTTTGGTTAACCACCACCACTAAAAAGATGTAGAGGTTGTTACCCTCAAAGAGATTAGGAGACCTCAGGGAGGTGAGGGGTCAAGCTGAGAACCCCCGTAAAAGTGTGTTCAGAGCACAAGAGAGGCCTGCCCTGACTGCTGTGGGCACACCGAGGCCTGGCAAAGCTTCACGGAGAACTGCTCACTGAGCGGGGTCTTCAGGAACAAGTGGGGTCTGGCCAGATGGGGGATGCGGGCCGAAAGTCCCCCTAGGCAGGGACAAGAGCAAGTGCGGTGCTGAGGGGGAGCGCTCGGGCGGGAGGAAGCGGGGCATGAGGGTTGTCACCGGGCCGGCCTGGGAAGCACTGACTGGGCGAAACCGAGGGGTTGGGACTTGACCCCGCGGGCAGGGGAGAGCTGACTGAAGTTCACCAAGTGTCCGTGGCCGCTTCCGTGTCCAGCCAACATGGACTAACAGACGGCGCCGGATTTTCCCAGTCATCTTAGCCCAAAACTATACAACACACACGAAACGACGATTCTCAGACATTAGCCAACAGCCAGTGCAGGACAGCACCCCCGAGATGCGGGGAACAGTGAGCTCAGCCTGCGGTTAGCCCAGCACGTTCCTAGGTTGCAAGGCAGGTGGCCTTGGTGAGGTGAGAACAGAGGACTTGAGAGTTTGGGGTGGAGGTGAAGTCACAGGATGGAGAAGGGGGGGGGACACTACAGGGCGAGGAGAGAGCTTCATGGAGAGAACACTGCGAAAGGGACAGGGAGAGCTCCAGAGAGCGGCAGGGCCCCCCCAAGTCCTCAGCAGGGTGCTGATCCCTGCACGCGTGTGAGAAACCACCTCGCTAGAGGGGGGCCAGTGAAAAGACGGGGCCGAAGGGCAGCTGGCGCTCCGCTGGGTCAGAGTGGAAGAGCCTTGTGCTGCTCAGGGCCGCCTCGGAGGTGGGGAAGGCCAGCCTGAGGCTGACGGCTGCTCTGGTTCTACGGGAAAAACTTAAAAGTGAGTCTTGCCCGGCCGGCGTGGCTCAGCGGTTGAGCATCGACCTAGAATCCAGGAGATCGGGTTCGATTCCCGGTCAGGGCACAGGCCCGGGGTTGCAGGCTCCATCCCCAGCAGGGCGCCTGCAGGGGGCAGCCGACCAATGACTCTCATCATTGATGTTTCTCTCTCTCTCGTCCTCTCTCTGGAATCAATAAAGACATATTTTTTAAAGTAAGTCTTGAAGGGATTAAAGTGTCTCCAAGTAACAGAGCACAGAGCGAAGCTGTGGAATACAGGCATGCATGTGTGCGTGTATGCACACACCTCGCTCACGAGCCCAAACCAACAGGCCAAAAACGTGGGCCTTGGAGCGGAATCCGTCAGAAATGAGACCTCCTGACTGAGGATGTAGCTAACAATGTCCAGCACTTCTCTGCCCCCAGCTATGACCGCCCCCGTTGCTCCTTTCCCTCCTCTCCCCCCGGCATGACAGCCTGGCGGCTCCGGTGGCCCAGTCACAGCCACAGTCCCCTGCTCCGACTTGGTAACACAGGCAGCCACCGGGTGGTAAGACGCGTCATCAAAAGCCTCCGCAAGCGGAAGGCTGGATCGAGCAGCCCGCCCGGTTCTGTTGCTCCCGGGTCTTTCCAAACCGAATGGCAGGTTTTACAGGCCCGGTCATTCCTCGGGTAATCGCCCAGCCTCCTATCATCTCACCTCGCTGCTGCGCTAGACACAGGCCTAATAGTCCACCATTCCCTCTGCCGGGTAAAGGAGGTCGCTCCCGGCTTCCGACCCACAAACCAAGTGACCTTGCCCTCGACCGACCGATAAAAAGCAGAAAGAGACATTCAAGGACGGAGCAGGTCATCGTCAATTTCAAAGACCCAGAATTGTCACCCTGCTGTTTGTGGACCTGAAAGTTTGGAGCCTCCAAAGGACCCAGCAGCCTGCTGGCCATGACATGACCCCACCTTCCACACTGTTCCCCGGTCCTGGCAGGCACCTGGGTCACGGGGGCAGGAAGGCCCACCGCCCAGGAGGACATGCATCCATGTCCTGGGCACTGAGCTCTCTTCCTGCACCCAGAGGTCTCCTGGCAGAGCTCTCCCGGGGCTGCTGACCTTGACCTGACACCAGGAAATCTGTGAGCCACGGGCAGAGGTGCAGCCCCGGGACGCCAGAGGAGGAAAACACACCTGTTCGGGGTGGTTCTCACTCTCACTATTGCTGCCCTGCCGGCTGTCATGACCACAGCGTCCCAGGCCCTCGCTGGCCTGGCTGCCTGTTACAGCTGTGCCATGAACAGCTTTGCGGCTCCTCATAGGTTCGAGGCTGTAAAATTACATAGACCAGGTCAACTGCCAGCGACAAAAGATTAGAGAGAGAGCAAGAGAAAGGGCCTGTGAGAGAAAAAGAACAGCTATTTTTTCAAATTTGCTTTTTTAACTCTGAAAATTAAAATATAGATCTTTAATTTTTTTCAGACCAGTAGAGATTTAAGGCATTGCCACTCAATAAACTCTGAAGGCTGAAATATTGTCACCGCACATTTGAGGGGAGAAATGATGAAAATTACATACAGAGCAGAGTTACAGTCACGTAGAACATGGACAAAACATAGCCAGGGCAAAACACTGGAAGGAAATGCACCGGACTGTTAATAACTGATGTCGATGGGTGGAAAATTGTACATTTTTTCTTTTCTAGTCATTCTGTATTTACCAATGATTTCCTAATAAATTTGCATTCTTATAACAGAGACATAGCTGTTGTTTTACTTGGAACACAAATTAGATATATATTTCTCTGCTTGCCTATCTATAGCCCTGTGAAATAGATATAATTTAAATGTTTTATAATTACCGTCAACAAAAGGTTCGTTGTGCTATTGTACAAAAAATATCATTTCTGTGCATTAAATATAGCCAAGCCGAGGAGACCTGAACTCGTGGTCAGAACACTGGGATCAACGGTTTTTAATTTTGAGATAATAGTAGATTCATATGCAGCCGAATCTACTCTTACATTGTGTGGATATGTACATATTTAGTCCTGTGCAACTTTATCTCCTGTGCAGACTCAAGTGACCACCAGTCCAGCTTCGGAAAAGTCCCCTCACTTCTCCCTGGCACAGCCACAGCCCCCTCTCCCTCCCGGCCCTGCCCCCTAACTCCCCGCAATGGTGATCGACGTTTGGGTCCATGAACCATCACTGATCCGCGGAGTGCGGATCACGATGCCAGGCTCTGGATGATGGTGACACAAATACAAATCAAGTAAACAGCGTGGCTGGTGGTTAGGAGAAAGGGCGGGAACCAGACTAACTGGGTTCAGAGCTGGGGTGTGTCCCTTACAGCCGTGTGACCTTTGGCAGGCCCTAAAGCTCCCTATGCCGGTTTCTGCAACAGAACGGGCTCCTCGACCCTCCTAGGGCCGTTCCGAGGCTTCAGTGAGCATGTTTGAAAGGCACGAGATGGGGCCCGGTCTGACACCTGCATGCGGGCACCTGAGAGCTCACAGGCAGGGAGAACACGGAGCTGGGCCCGGGCAGCCCATGCTGGGTGAGCTGGTGTCAGCGTCAACACAGCAGCTGCAGGACCGGGCAGGGAGCCACTGTCCTGGCTGCGGGAGGCGAGAGAGCTCAGCTCGGCCCATGCGCGGTCAAGTGGTGTCAGTGCGACCGCAGAGCAGTTCTTGCAGAAAAAGCGGGGAGATGTGTGACCCCGAGGCAGGCAGGTCGGTCATTCTGGGAGCCAGGATCTGACAGAAGGGTGACAAGGAAGGGATGTCGCCACAGATGAAGCCCCAGGTTTTGAGGGGCCCCGAGTCCACGCTATAGTAGCACTGTGGGTTTCAGTCCTGGAGAAGTGGGAGACAGAGCAGGAGGCAGGCAGACTGCCTCCCAAACACAAGGCCACCAGGCGGGGTTTGGACCATGGGAAAGAACGTCTTCGGTCAGGGAACACAGGCAACGGCGGCTGATTATTGCTACCGGCCGATGAACACCATGCTCTGGTTAGAAGCATAGAACCGTGCGTGTCGGGGGCAGGGGAG